CGCGTATCGTACAACTGCAAGTGGTTGAACAGGTGGGCAGAAACACCGTGCCACAGGTGATGTTGACTTTGGTATTATCACAAGAGTGGTCTGCGTGGGAGGTTGCTTTCTCGTCGGATACCATCAGAACGTGGGTCTTCTCCGATGAACAAGTGGTCGATACCGGGCAAAGTGCTTTGTCAGAAGGGGAAAAGGCCCTCATCATGCGGAGAATGTGGACTGACGATGGGAGGTACATTTGCGCTCAATGCCATGCCGCGAGGGCTGGTTTTGGATACTGTTTACATCGCCTGACCAGTGTCAGGTACAAAGCATGCGCCAGAGCGAATTACTTACAATCGCTGGGAGAAAATGAATATTAGCTGCTGCGTGGACGAGATTATGATTGAAACCACACCTTGATGCCACCCCAGAGGAGATAATCGATCTAAGATAATTTCCAACAGGCTAGGAGCAATGAGCAAGAGCTCTGCTGTTGCTTTGGGTAATTTGAGCAAGGCCGAATAGCGCCAGCGCAAATGGGTTAATGATGAACGCATGCGTTTCAAGACTGCTTTGGCTGGCGGCACATGCGTGAATTCGCAACCAGGGACCTTTCCTTCCTGGCGACCTGACAGCGTCTCGGCACAGCCGCCGGCGCGTCACGAGCCATACTTTCAGTATCTTGAACCCCTCAAGCTCAGGTTCATTGACTGGCTAGAGCACAAGCATGGGGATGCTCGCCCCATGGCTGCCCAGTGGTAGCCATTGACTTGGACGCCAGATCTGGACCAATATGCTCGCCCTATGAGATGCTCTGCACTTGCCGTTTTCGATCGGGGACATGTTAGTGCAGACCGAATCCGACCAGAGACGGGCTGGGACCAGTGGGAACGAGAGATGGAGGAAAGAGGATGTGTCATTCCCTCCGTTCGAGTGTTGACGGATACTTCGGAAGCCGCGAACCGAGCATCTGCATCGACCCAGGTAGGGGACATAGATATCCGAGTCGCTGCTGAACTTTATCATCGGCCAAGCCGCAGTGATGAAGTAGTCTCGGAACGTGACGAGAAGGCTAAGATGTCGGATGGCACATGGAATACCCATACCGCACAGCGACATTCATTGCTTATTCCGAATAGATCGTCGCCTTTTGGGCTTGACAGACTTTCAATGTTGGTTGCGTGTGCGGTCATAATTACAACAATGAAACCTGTGAGAGGCCAGGTGTTGTCAGAACTGCAGCACCATTTGTTCTTGAATACTAATCGATTGCCCCAAATACGAGCCCGTTGGGCACCGACATTATCCATGACGTACCACCGGGACTATTTGAATTTGTGGATCGAATTTGGAAACAACCGTTTGATCGCATCCCCACCCATGGAAGATGGGGGCGCGTTCTGTTAGCTCTACGAGAGGTCATATCTTGATTCATGTCCGCGGGGATCATACGAGGTGCAGCGCAATCCGCAGTCCGCCCAAATTTTGCAATATGCTTATGCTCTGGATTGTCGGATCCGAGCTGCTGTAGAGACATTTGATTTGCTTCATTATTGGACCAGCGGATTAGGAAATGAAGTATCCGAGACCGCAAGACGGAATTGCTCAGGCATTCAATATGGTCTTTAGTCACACGTCTACGGAGCCCCAATTTAGCGTCGAGATTTGCCTCGCTAGCAGCCTTTTTGGGGTCGTCAATGCTGATGGCCCTATTGGGATCACCAGTTGCCTTGATCAGAAAAAGGAGGAGAGTGGCACGGCCAACTCCCCCTGCAGAGACAGTCCCAGCCGAGGCGCCAGCAGACGCTGTAGCCCCAGTCGCTGAAATCATTGCCCCGAGCGGCACCGCCGCCTCGGGGCAGCGAACTCAGCAATGCTCTCGCCCGGCATCGCGGCCGAGGTTCCAGCGTGGATGGCAATCCCGTCGGGCCGCTCCCTATGCTCCTGTGTCTGCTGGCTCAGCCGCGTCAGGCACCAATGCTGGCTGGGTCGATTCTGACAGGATTCGGTCGCGGGCGGATGAATCCTGGACTGAGGAACCCATCCCACAAAGACTGGCTGTCGAGCCGGTTGGCGGCCGCGCGCGCGATGGCGATGGCCCCTGGCCGGCCATGGGCGGCGTGCGCGACTCGACCGTCGACTGCGGAGACAAGACCGAGAATGGAGATGTTCGAGAATACTACGTGCATCTCGGCATCATCAAGTCACTGGCCATCGCAAAACATGGCAATGGTTAAGTCTGGATGAGTACAGCGACAAGTTCCAGCGCGACTCTGGGACGCCAAGTACGTTGCCGGCGCCTCCCCCGCCGCCGTCGCCCAAGGCGAGACCGTCGGAGAAGGGCCAGGGCAAGAGTGAGCCAAGTGGCTGGAGTTCGAGCAGAAGAGAGGACAGCTCCTCCAGGGACCCGAACCAGTGGTGCTGGACCAACAGCGATCCCTGGGATGACTTTCGAGAGTGGAGAGGTCGATGGAGAAGGTGGTGGTGCGCAATGGAACCTGTGCGGCAAAGTCGATGCTGGTCAGTGCTACTTCGTGGAGCGGGTGCACCAGGTGTGCGTGGGCATTGAGGCCTGATCTGGAAATATTTGCTCAGGCGGGGGATGTCGGGCTTCTTCGGCCTTCCGCCCCCTGGCAACCACCTTCGAGCGGTAAACTGTTTTTTTTGGGTTCGTTCCGGTGGCTGTGCGTATGTACAGGCCAGGTGGGTTGGGGGTCGGGGCGGCTCTACGGATCCCGGCGCGGGGGGAGTCGATGCCCCCCCTCCGCGCCACCATTCGTTTGCCTTGCCTGCTCTCTCTCCTTGCACGCGCTGTCCGCCTGCTGGACTGACTTGCTCGGCTCCCGCAGCTATAAATTCTTGCTCTAGGAAAGCGGAAAAGGAGCGAGCCTGCGGCGCGCGCGAGATCGTCGGCCGGCGGGCCGGCTTTCTCCCTTCAGCGTTACCTTAGTGTATGCTTGACGGCAATATCTTTTCTTACCCATGTCATCTGCGGAGCCCAATTACCATGATACATCATCGGGACATCTTGCAGGGATTATGAATATCCAGGCAAAACACTAGGAGCGCACCCGTGCACGCGTGCTCCGCAGCAGCCCGCTTCCCGTATTGCCGAGCAGCGCGCAGTGTATGAATAGAGGCCCGCGTCTTGCGCTACACATGATTGCGCAGGGATGGGTCCGTCGCCAAGCCAATTGTTTGCTTATCCTTGACATTCGGCCCATACTGCTACTGTGCCCGAGCTTTTGGCCAGAGGATTCATGGATACCTATAGTTAGGGGTCAGTTGGCATGCTTCTCGGCGCCTCGTGGAGCTACTATTGAAGTTTCTTGAGGCGTCTTGGGGGCCGTTTGGCGGCCTCCTGGGGCCTCTTTTGGTGCCCTTGAGGGCCTCTTGAGGAAGACCTGCGAGCGACCCCAGGGGGCCACTGGGAGCGGAGGGCTCGACATGTCAGTTGGAGTAGTTCCCCCTCTCGGGGTCCTCTTGGGGCCCTCGTGGGCCGTTTTGAGTGCCATTTGGACTGATTCGCGGCTCTCTGTGGCCGGGCCCTCTTGGGCCGTCTTGGGGTGATCTTCCGGGCGTCGCGGGCGACGCTGTGAAGACCCAGCGTGCGCATATGCGCATACATATAAGTTTTCCTTCAGACAAGGAACAATGTTTGGCCTCCTGGGTACCTCTCGGGGCGCATCGTGGAGCATTCTTAGGACGTACTCGGGGCCTCTTGAGCCGTCTTGAAACAATCTTCGGGTATCTTCGGCTCTGTCAGGCCGCACTGGTCCCTTTCTGGTGGCCTCCAGTGCTGTTTTGAGCGGCGGGAGGGATGCCCGGGAGGCCCTGGAAAGGGGTCAAAATGTCGCGGGCCCAAAGGGGAGGGGAAATCCAAGAGGGTGTCCCGAGGTCAAGTGGGGCCGCAGCCTTTTCCAGATGGAGGCCACAGTTTCACATCCACGACAGACTTTTGTGCGCCGCACTTCGTCAGGCTCGCCCTTCTTGGCTACATTGGCCATGCGCGCGTCTGAAGTAAGATCATTGCCCAAATTATCCCAGTGCGACCCTACCTAGGAGTTGGAACCCCTAGGAAAGCAGCATTAGTAGTAACAGTAAAGCTAAGCTAAAGCTAAGCGAAAGCTAAGCTAACACTAAGCCGAATATAAGCTAAAGCTAAGCTGCATCTAGGCTAAAACCAAGCTGAAACTAGGCTAAATCTAAACTAAATCTAAGCTAAATCTGAGCTAAATCTAAGCTGAAGCTAAGCTGGAGCTAAACTGACGTTAAGCTAAAGCTAAGCTAAAGCTAAGCTAAAGCTAAGCTAAAGCTAAGCTAAAACTAAGCTAACGCTAAGCTAAAGCTAAGCTAAATCTAAGCTAACGCTAAGCTAAAGCTAAGCCAAGCTAAATCTAAAGCTAAGATACAGCTAAACTAACGCTAAGCTAAAGCTAAGCTACAGCTAAGCTACAGCTAAGCTACAGCCAAGCTAAAGCTAAGCTAAAGCTAAGCTAAAGCTAAGTAAGCTACATCTAAGCTACATCTAAGCTAAAGCTAAGCTAAAGCTAAGCTACAGCTAAAACTAAAGCTAAAGCTACAGCTAAAGCTAAAGCTAAAGCTAAAGCTCCCAGGGGACTGGGGGAACTGCGGGGCGGATGCCGGGGGAACCGCCCGGGGCGGGCAACACTGCCTGGCCCTTCAAGCATATAAAGTAAGAACCCTTCTAGGCAGAGCGTAGGTAGGCAATCAAGTTTCCGTCCGAGCAATCAGGGACCACGCGCCTGTTGACCAACTCCCTTCCAGCGGCAGGGTGCACGCGCAGGAACCGGGAGCAAGAGCCGCCTTGAGGAAACGATCGAGGGTCACCTCGCAGGTCGAACGTTACCAGGCAGGCACCAACCCAAATCCGCTGGAAAAGGGGCGGGTTTCTCCCGAGCGGAGGGTGAGGCGGCGGCGGAGGAGAAGGTTTGAGGAGGAGGAGGAGGAGGAGGAGGAGGAGGAGAAGGAAGACCTTCCGTGGGGCCGGCCCAGAGGCGTCATCGTCATCAACGGCATCGAGGCTCGGCGGCACGCGCAAATTTTTCAATGCCTTGGACGCCGCTTGTGATGTTTCGTCGGGCGGCGCCGCAGACCGACGAAACATCACCAAGTTATCGAAAGCGACGACGCCGACCGCCGACTCAGCGGTCGGGGTCGTCGTCCTCGATATTTGTTTCGGGCGTCAGGGAGGGTTCCCGTCGCCCTCGGCCAGACATGGGCTCGGAAGAGCGGCCATGGTGTACCCCCGAGCAGGAGCCTTCAGATCTCCATCTCCGAGCGGACTTTTCAGTCCCGCTTCGTGGCGACGTGGGTGGTTTGTTGTTGTTGCTGCTGCTGTTGTTGTTGCTGTTGCTGTTGCTGTTGAACTCTCATTTCTGAAGAATAAATATTGTTGATCCCCCCCGCCTGGTGCACACTGTATTTTTTCGATTGTAATGCCCCTTCCAGGGCTCGCACCCTGTTTTTAACAGGGAAAATCTTGAGGCTCAAATTGTGTCGCTGGCCCATGGTTTACAACAACAGCGGCTCCCGCCTGATATTTCTTCACAATTTATTGAAGAGTCGCGCTCTCGCTTGGGACTTCCTGGCAATTTGCCACCGAATCGCGGCTCCCGCTTGATATGTCCTGATAATTTACTGCAGAATCGCGTTCTCGTTTGGGACTTCCTCGAACTGACCACCGAACCGCTTCGCTAGATATTTCCGCGTAATTTATTCAGATGCCGGTCCTCGACACTCAGGAATCGCGCTCTCGCTACATCTTGTCTGGCGTTTCAAGCAGGACTCACGCTTCAACGACCCGCCCGCTCGACCCGCCCGTCGGGGCCTTCCCGCCCGACCAGCCCGTTAATGACTGCAGTCGCCGCTCGCTGCCCTTCGCCCGCCTTCGATGCCCCTCGCTGCCCGTACTGGTTCCGCGGTCGCCTTCGCTCGCTGCCCTTTGTGGCTCCGTCGCTGCCCTTTGTGGCCCCGCATTATATGCCCTTCGTGGCCCCCGCTCGCACGCGCCCGTCGTGGCCCCATACGCATGCCCTTCGTGGCCCCGCTGTCGCCCTTCGTGGCCCCCTCGCTGCCCTTCGTGGCCCCTTTGCTGCCCTCAGTGGCCCCGCTGTCGCCATTTGTGGCCCCGTATACGAAGGCCCTTCGTGGCCCCCGCTCGCTCGCGCCCGTCGTGGCCCCATATGCATGCCCTTCGTGGCTCCGCTGTCGCCCTTCGCGGCCCCCTCGCTGTCCTTCGTGGCCCCCTGTGGCCTCGGATTTTATGCCCTTCGTGGCCCACGCTGGCTTTCCTCACGATTTATTTAGGAATCGCGCTATCGCTCGAGACTTCCTTGCGATTCATGCAGGACCCACGCTTCAGCAACCCGCCTGCTCGACCTCGTCGCCCGGGCCCGCCTTCCCGACCTGCCCGCTATGGGTCTGCCCACCCGATCTGCCCGTCTGGTTCTACTACTTGTTTTCTGCTCCCTGCCCCCATTTTGCTACTTTCTCTCGTGCTCCATTATTCTCCCTCCTACTTCCACCCGTCCTCTCTTCCCTTGCTTTAGGGGCTGCACAAATACACGTGGCAGGTAAGACAGATATACCCCCAAGGGGGTACGATCGAAGACGACGAGGGCGGGTACTGAGGATTTGGGATACACGTATTGATTAGCACGTGAGCAGATAGGAGCGAACAGTCTTTAAATGATTGTTGTTGTCGTTGGGGCTGGTGTTGGTGTTGGCGTTGGTGTTGGCGTTGGCGTTGTGGTTGTTATGGTTGTGGGTGTGGTTGTTGTTATTGTTGTTTGTGGTGTTGTTGTTGTTGCTGATGTTGCTATTATTGTTACTGTTGCTGTGGTTGTGGCTGTTGTTGTGGTGCTTGTGCTTGTGCTTGTGGTTGTTGTTGTTGTTGTTGTTGTTGTTGTTGTTGCTGTTGCTGCTGCTGCTGCTGCTGTTGTTGTTGTTGTTGTTGTTGTTGTTGTTGTTGTTGTTGTTGTTGTTGTTGTGGATGTTTTTTTTGATTGTTGGTTGTTGTTGCTGCTGCTGTTGTTCGAAGGAACCCTACATGTGCACCCCGTCGCGTGGTCCTTTGCCCCCCCCCAAAGAACTGAAAGAACCGTCCCCGCCCGCGGCGGCGCTCCTATGGGATTCCATAGGGATCCTATCGGATGCCATGGGGCTCCTATGGGATCACATAGGGATCCTGTACGATTTCAGAAGGATCCTATAGGATTCCATGGGGGTGCTATAGGGTCCCGTAGGGAACCTACAGGATTCCATTGCGATCCCAAAGGACTCCCTCTAGGGATCTTACCGGTTTCCATCGGGTTCTATAGGATTCCATAGGGGTCTTGTAGGATGCGGGTCCTATGCGATTTCATAGGGATGCAATGGGACTCCATAGGGGTGCTATAGGATTCCATAATGATCCTATAGGATTACATAAGGATCCTGTCGGTTTCCACTGGGGTCCTATGGGATTCCATGAGGATCCTTTGGGTTTCCATGGGGATCCTATAGGATCACTATGGAATCCTGAGAGATTCCATAGGGATTCTTAAATAGGGATTCTTAAGATTCCTAGGGGTTCTTAGGATTCCTCAGGGCTAATCGGATTCCTTAGGGAGTGTTAGGATTCCATGGGAATTCCTTGGCTTCCCTAGGAATTCCTAGGAATCCCTAGGGAATCCTCGGATTCCATACGAGTGTGGAGCTGTGAGATCGGCGCGCTAGCGTGCACATGGTTTCAGCTCGCTGGAATGCGTGGGTTGCTTCGAAAGAATCCTAGGATCCCTTAATGATGTCTCGGATTCCCTAGGGACTCCCAAGATTCCCTAGGGATTCCTCGGATTCCCTAGGGATTCTTAGGATTTCCTAGGGATTCCTATGCTTCCTTAAGGACGTAGGGATTCGCGTAGGGATTCCCAGGATTCCTAGGATTCCGTAGGCGTTCCTGGGATTCTGTAGGAATTCCTAGGATTCCGCAGGGATTCCTAAGGATTCTTAGTATTGTTTAGGATTCGTAGGATTCTTAGGATTCCCTGGGATCCCTAGGATTCTTCCGGATTCCTAGGAGTCCCTAGGGATTCTTTTTGATTCCCCAGGATTCTTAGGATTCTCTATGGATTCCTATGGATTCCTTCGGATTCCTAGGATTCCCTAAGATTCCTAGGATTCCCGGGGGATCCCTATGGATTCCTTCGGATTCCTATGGATTCCCTAGGGATTCCGATGGATCCCTTTAGATTTCTATGGATTCCGTGCGGATTCCTCGGATTCTTAGGGTCTCCTAGGGATTCCTATGAATTTCGAGGGATTCCTGAGGAGTCATAGGATTCCCTAAGGATTCCGGGGGATTCCTTGGGATTCCTAGGGAATCTTAGGCGCGCCAGCGCGCACATGGTTTCAGCTCCCTGGACTGGGTTGGTTGCCTTCAGGATTCTGAAGGAATTTCGAAGGTTTCTTTTCCCTTTTTTTCCGGCTGGGTTCTTTGTTCTTTTGGGGGGGCAACGAATTAGGTCCACGGGGTTTGCAGGCAGGGTTCGTATCTTGGGAGGAAGGAGCAGGGCTCGCGGGTTCGTACTTTGTTGTTGTTGTTGTTGTTGTTGTTGTTGTTGTTGTTGTTGTTGTTGTTGTTGTTGTTGTTGTTGAACTATCATTTTTGAAGAATAGTTATTGTTGATCTCCCATCACCTGTGCATACTGTTTTTTTCTCAATCAAAGTGTATCCTTCGACGCTTGCACCCTGTTTTTGACAGGGCAAGTCTTGATGCTCAGACTGCGCCCCTGGCCCCCCAGATTACAACAACAACGGCTCCCGCCGGAGACTTCCTCCAAATTTGCTCAGGACACCCGCTCCCGCCTGAGAATTCTTCACAATTTACTCAGGATTGGTGCTCCTGCTTGTGACTTCCTCGCAATGTAGTCAGGGCCCCCGCTACCATCTGAAACTTCTTCACAATTTACTCAGGAACAGCGCTCCCGCTTGAGACACCCTCGCAATTGAATCAAGACTAATCAAGACCCCCGCTCCCGCCAGAGAACCCCTCACATTTTATGCAGGAATTGCGCTCTCGCCTGTGACTTCCATGCAATCCATTCAGACATCGCGTTTTCGACGCTCAGGAAACACGCTGCGCCAAGGACGCCGTCACAATTTACGTAGGAATCGCGCTCTCGCCATACTCAGGCATCCCGCTTGAATGTCCCACCCGCCCGACCCGCCCGTCAGGGGATCGCCCGCCCGTCGTGGGCTCCCGCCCGAGAATTCCTTCAGGAACGACGCTTTCGCCTAGGACTTCCTCGAACCTTCACGCTCTTACCTTCCTGCTCCTCCTCCCTCTCCCTCCTCCCTCCTCTCCTCCCTTCTCTCTCCCTCCTCTCTTCCCTCATCCTTATGCCTCTCTGCCCTATCCCCTCTCCCTCCTCTCCCTCCTCCCTTCTCCCTCCCCTCTCCTGCCTCCTCCCTCCCTCTTTCTTTCTTTCTTTCTTTCTCTCTCTCTCTCTCTCTCCCCCCTTTCTCTATACCTCTCTTACCTGTCATTCTCTCTCTCTCTCTCTGCCTCTAATCACCCGCCCGCTCTTCGCTCCTTCTCTCCTGGCGTTTTCCCTCTTCCTTCGTCCCTCCCCCTCCTTTCCTCCCGCTCTCCCTCGTTCTCGTCCTCTTCTTTTTGCAGGGCCCACACCAATTCCAAAGGCGGGCACATGTACGCCCACGAAGGATTGTCCGCCCGTTCATGTTTGCCCGCCTGTCTAAGCCCGCCGCCCCCGGCAAAGAGAAATGATCCCCCCAAAGGGGGTGTGATCGAAGACGAACAGGGCGGGTATCGAGGGTGTGGGGAAATCGTTCTGAAAGACACACGGGCAAATCAGAGCGAACAGTCTTATACTGATTGTTGTTGTTGCTGCTGTTGTTGTGGTTGTTGTTGTTGTTGCTGTTGCTGTTGCTGTTGCTGTTGCTGTTGCTGATGCTGTTGTTGTTGTTGTTGTTGTTGTTGTTGTTGTTGTTGTTGTTGTTGTTGTTGTTGTTGTTGTTGT